ACCACCTCATGAAGTTCTATCTCACTCTCAAACTCACACATTCACACTAAAAAGGCTGCAAGTTCTCCTCATTGGGGATGTGTTTGGTGATTTTCAGACCAGTACACGTGCTAACCTGCACCACCTAAAGGACGGGAAGGGGATACCAGCAGCAGTTTAAGCTGCATAATGTAGAAGTATAGCTTACACCTAAAGACTAAAGACTGAGCATGAAGGCCTGTAGAAGACAGATGTCAATATGTTTAGCTGCAAGTTACTTTGTCCAATTAATTTAATAAAGCAGATCACTTTCTTCCTCAACCCTGAGGCTAGGATGGGGAGGATGCTCTTAAGATTATCAATTTTAGAAATAAGAGCTTTTCTGTGCTATTATTACAAGGTAAATGTGAAAAAAACAACTTTTCAAGTGCATTCTTTGAAATGTGCGTTCATAATTTACTTTAGAGTTGACTTATTATTCACGTTAAGTGGATTAGATGTCTTCACTGAGTTGATACTTCAGCCAAGAGCTGCAGCCAGGAGGAAAGAAAAGACACCAGTAAAAATATGAGGTACTGCACAGAGTGTTATTTTGTAGAAAGTGTCCATATTATTGTGTCCACACCCTTAATACTCTGAAATATACCAATGTTTTCTTAATTTATTTTGACACATTATACTTCATGCACACACACACACACACACACACTCCGTTTCTTCACTAATTTTAATATTATTATTATAGGGGCTTTACTTCGGGCCACGTTAACACAGTCCAGCTGCATCTGTAAGCCTATAAGAATTACATAAATGGAAAAAAAGGAAAAGGATAGAGCCTTTCTGAATGAACCAAAAATGACACCGTCCACACCATGCTGTGCCAAAAGGCCCTGGATGAGCACGAGTCTCCACGGACGCTACCTGTCACATCACAACTAAATATTCCCTTGTGATGTACAGTGTTTGTGGCAAAGAACATAATAAACTCTGTCAGAGACATACTGCAATGTGCCTTGCTAGCAGGATGTTTGGGTAGACTACAGAGAAAGGGGAACTTCTCTTTATTCTTGACTCACTGTAACAGAGGTAGCCAGGCTTCCTTCCGAGAACCCTCATCCCTCCAGAGGTAGAAGATCCAACGATGGATTGACAGCTCCATCTAGTGGTACAACCCGGTCAGAGACGACAAGAGGAGAACATGGTATCACCATCTACCAGCAGAGCCAAATGAGATAAATGGATTTGGGGAAATTGTGTAGAAACATATGCTTAGCTTATCCATTCATAAATAAACCCATAGTAGTAATTTATTTGGATGTATTACGTGATTCACCTCGTTTTTTGGTTAATTAGTTGGTTCATTAATGTTTTTAGTTATACAGTAATGGTAAATACCGAGGATAAACGACTGCCACGCGCACGAGACACGGGAGTGAATTCCCGCATGCGCAATGCCATCTGGCTTCTCGGCGTCAAGGAGATTGCAAGAAGATGATGCGGCTGAGCGGCCGGCACGGACTGAATGCATGATTGGCCCATCCGAGACATATATCTTTTCACTTGCCTTGTCTAGTTTCTTGCCAAATCGCTGTTTAATGTCGAACTGTAACCGGAGCGGCGTAGAAACTGATTAGCAGTAAGAAGAAGAAGAAGAAGAAGAAGAAGAAGGAGGAGGAGGAGGAGAAGAGGAGCGAAGCAGTAACTGAGAGGAGTTGGGCATCAAATTGCACCGGATGTCATTACACGCTCTTAAATATCGAGGACGTGAGTAACGTTTTTACAATTGTGCATGTGTGCTGCGTTGTAATTTAGTTTTCTCGGCATGCTAAATGCTTTTCCTGCATGTACATATATAAAAAAGGAACTCCCAGTGTTTAGTCGTATTTTGGGGCTTAATTAAGAAGCCTTGCTGGAAAAGAGCCCAGCCCTTTGTCCACGTCAAGTCAATTATGTCTACGTGGTCGTGAGACACTTTTCATCACGTTTTTATAGTTTTGTTGCTAATATTATTCTCTTATTCTTAATGTAACCCACCCACCTGTTTAAAAAACAACATTTGAATTATATTTGAATTAAATCCCGAAGAGAAAACAAGTGTAAATGATTTATTGGCTGTGGAAAAACAAATCTGAGTTTTTTTAAATGTTGTATTATTACTACAACATTACAATAACTCCATAACAGTCTGCGAGTGTTATTCACTATTTTCCTCGTGAACAAGGTACTCTTTGAGTGTGTCATATAGCACATGGAGGCAGATAACCATCAAACAGGCTTGTGGGTCGTTGGGCATTTGTACTTAGGCCTAGCGTTACATCTAAGCTCGTTGATCAATTGAATTTAAGCCTCTTGAGCGGTCTGAGCGAAACCTGCTGACACATGCGCCCCTGTCTTTTTGTGTTGCGCACAAACCCGGTTAACCCCTCTCTGTCTGAGTTCCCTCCGCGGCCCACTGCAACTAAACTATACCCTGGGTGGGTATGTTGTTTTATGAAGTCCTGTACCAACAACAACAACAACAAAGAAAGTCAGATCATCTGGTGCAATGTGCAATAATACTCAGCATTTTCTTGTCAGTGAACTTTCATTGGTGGACAGTAGTCACTGTATACAGAGGAATTAATTATTGAAAGGGAATCTGATCTGACGCATCAGATTAATTATAGATTAATATGGAGACACCTGCTCTCAGCTCTCAGGTGGATAAGGAGTGTCTGTTATGTAATGCTGCTTAATTACAGTCAGGTGGGTGCACATTTCTCTTGATGTACCAGACCATTATTATACATGTTAGTTTGATTTGCTTCTGTCACATTTGTCCCGTCAGTGAGTAAGTTAAAGGAGGTTAATAGAAGATTTATTAAGTCTTAGAAAAGTGTCAGAAACGGGGGGAAACGAATTACCCCGTATCATTGATCCTATTTCCTGCAGTTATCTCAAACTGTTGTGACTGGCCAGATTCTTCATAAGAATCGATGGAAAGTGCTTTAACATCTTGTGGAGGTTAATGTTACCGTACTGTTTCCAATGAGGGCAAGAAAAGAGAGGCCTGACATGGTCCTTTAGGGTGTTTGGAGCAATGCTACAATGTACAATCCATTCATGTATAATGAGCTGAATGATTCTACCCTGTAGCATGTATGACACATGATACGAATCCCTTTCTGAAAGGCTTTTACTTGCCTCCAATAAGACACCCTGCGAAGTTTGATACGATGCTGAAAATTGTTGTCTTTGGGGTCAGTCTAGATGTCTTCGGCTTAATATCTGCACATCAGCAATCACGAGCTAACGAGGATTCAGTGTTTTGCATAGAGAGGGACACGTACCATGGTTACGCAGAGTAGCTCCTCATGCTGCTAGTTACAATGATAGGATACGTACGGCCTGTAATTGAATTTGGGTGACTCTCACTGACGCCGCCTGTCTTGCCTCCGTCTCTTCCTCTCTTTTTCAGTATAATCAGGACCAAAGGCAGAGCCATGGAGGCTGTAACACGTCTGGTGAATGACACTGTAGAATTTTACAAATGGGGCCTTACTATAGCAGGTAAGATCTTTATAATCACTTGTTTCTAAACACACAAGAGCAGTTTGTTTTATTGTTGTGAGATTTTAGTCACCAGCTTACTTGCACAGCTCGAGGACGGAAAACTGCCCAATTTGACCAAGTTGTCTTTCTGATTAAAAAAAAAAAAAGTCATACTTGATATGTATGTGATAGCATAACTGCATAGCAGAGTCTGGCAAGTCAAAGTTGGACCAGGAAGCAGCGAGCAAAGAGGTTTGTTTTCACCCACAAATACATAGTTTATACAAAATGGTCAAACTGGGGACTTAAAAAATAACTTGTTGTCTCACTTATGTGGCGACGTCCTGTGCATTGTCCCTGTATCTTTACAATAACTCTGGTATGTGAATGGTTACCATTACTCATAAAGGTAATGTCAACTGAAACAAAAGGACAAACACTGCACAAAATGTATCGTAAAAGCACTGGGTCAGAATGCTACAATGTAATATTTAGCACAAAGTGTCATAAAGGTTGTAGGAGAAGGTGTGCCTGTTGTGCATTACATGTGTGTTCACTTTAACAACAGTGGTTCTGTTGTTGAACCATCATACCTCACATTTTTCCCACCATTGAAACCACCCCTGTGTCCTCCAGACAAGAGGGTGGAGAGCTGGCCGATGATGTCGTCTCCCGTCCCCACTCTGGCCATCAGCTGCCTGTACCTGCTCTTCCTGTGGGCGGGGCCTAGATACATGCAGGACCGTCAGCCCTACATACTCAGGAAGACCCTCATAGTCTACAACTTCAGCATGGTGGTCCTCAACTTCTACATCGCCAAAGAGGTAAGGACATGTCGATTATCTTCACGTGTTACAGTAGCACACATAGCACGTAGTCATTTTTTGTCAGGATGTTAAAGGGATGTCGAGGCAACTACGTAGCGAAAAAAGACACACAGGTGTTACTAACTGGCTTTTCCTCAGGCGACATTGAAGAAACACTTTGTGACAGTCAATCATGGATTCACAGTCACATTTAAACAGAGACACTTTGCACAGAGTACTATGTTTATAGACTCTATACGTCTACTTTAAAAAAAAAATGCAGCTTAATACACTATAAAAACGCTTGCTTTACTCCAGCTAATTATGCATGTTTCATTTTAGTTGTTGCTCACTCAGAATACATGAAAAGGCAAGAAAAGACAACAATGGACGGTATAGAGAAAATTACACCAGTGATCCTGCCCTCTGTGACAAACCTAACGTTAAGAGACAAGACAATCACTCGCAGTTGAACCACTTTATTGGTTGAACACAAAGGTTTATGTATGGGTGTTCTCTCAACATGTTATCTTGACCAAGCACCGAGCACATTTGTTCTTTTAGAGCAAATAATGTAGAGACGCTTTGTGTTTTGTGAACGATTCACTCTAATCAAAAATAAGCTGCAGCACTTCCTGCAACATGCAGATTCTACTGTAGCAATGATTTCCAATCCGTGATGTCTAATAGCTCGTCTAAGTTTTGTTTTTAGAAAAAGAGTGTGTCAACACGGATTACTCGTGGTCGCTGCTGTAGTTTCTCCATATTTTAGAAAATGTCGACCAGTTTCCTCGCAGCCGTTTTCTGAGTTTGTGCTTTCTTTCCTCCCATCAGCTCCTACTAGCCTCTAGAGCAGCCGGGTACAGCTACCTCTGTCAGCCTGTCAGCTCCTCCAACGACGTCAACGAAGTCAGGGTAAGCTCCCTCCAACACACGCGCATCACCTAACGCATCTATGCACAGACACACACCTGTGTACACGACTACCAAAATAAATGTTTTTACTTTTGATAATCGCAACAGCAGTAGCAAGTGCCTTTAGTTTAGTCGGCGGGTTAAAGGAGAAAAGAGAGATTTTGAAAGTTTAAGTCTCCAGGGATTTCAGTACAAACAGGGTGTGGCCTACACTCACATATGTTGGAGTAATTGGTCTTGCCACCGCGAGGCTCCGCCCCCCGTCTCCAACCTCAGGCCTTGCTCTTTCATGATGGCATGATGCCACACCGCCGTGGCTTAGACAGCAACCATGTGCATCACGTGCATGTGTGTATCAGGCTGCGAGGAATCAGGAGTTAAATAGGAGAACACACATGAGTGATTTGTGACATATTGCTGTGGGACGTGAATACATCTGCAATATATACATGTATAAATATACTGTATATCGTACAACTACTCTTAATATATGATATCTAAGTGATATCAAATATGTTAATATGTTACCTTGTTCACAAATATATTCATAAAACCTGCTCTCTGCAGTAGTAATACTTTACTCAATTCTCCTACACAAGTGGAATAAGGTGGGGCTTTAAAGGGCTGATTAACTAAGAACTTAAGCGACTGTAACGAGTGCTATATCAATGTCTGCACATTGTAGTCGCAGGCTAAAGCCGTTATCTATCATCGATGCTATCGAGGGCTGCAATAGTTCACTCCACCCTGTGTTTTACGTCTTCAGATAGCATCCGCTCTCTGGTGGTACTACATCTCCAAAGGAGTGGAATTCCTGGACACCGTCTTTTTCATCCTGAGGAAGAAGTTCACCCAGGTCAGCTTCCTCCACGTCTACCATCACTGCACCATGTTCATCCTCTGGTGGATCGGCATCAAGTGGGTCCCCGGTGGACAATGTGAGTGAAAGGATCTTGATGGTCATGACGTCCAGCTGTTGAATTCATCAGATTGATGTTGTCTTCGTGCCACTGATAGAAGAGCTGGCATTCATTTGCACGGCAGCCATGTGTAAATAACATGATGACAGCTGATGCAAAATTCAACCCTTTCATCTTTCCACAGCATTTTTTGGTGCAACCATCAACTCTTCCATCCACGTGCTCATGTACGGATACTACGGCCTGGCAGCTTTGGGACCTCAGATGCAGAAGTACCTCTGGTGGAAGAAATACCTCACCATTATTCAGATGGTGGGTATTTTGTGATTATGCATTTGCTTCTGTTGTGTGTGTTCTGTGGATGTTTTTGTTGAAATATCCTCCTTAAAATAACACCATTTTATCAGCACTAATTATACTGTTGTTGTTGTAAAGACATAACATTGCAGTTAGGTCACTGAGATATACTTCTATCGTCTATTTCAATGAAAGTTCATATCTAAAAAGTGCTTTTTATGTTCAGTACATTTTAAGTAATGGTCACAACAATAGTCTGCGTTTTCATATCGTACATTCTGCAAGTTGCATTTTTACTGCGCTTCATGTTGTTTAATTTGGCTTAATAATTTGATTTTGTGTGTTCAACAGATCCAGTTCCACGTGACCATCGGGCATGCTGGCCACTCCCTCTACACAGGCTGTCCGTTCCCCGCCTGGATGCAGTGGGCTCTGATTGGCTACGCCGTCACCTTCATCATCCTTTTCGCCAACTTCTACTACCACGCTTACCGACGCAAACCCTCCTCCGCCCAGAAGGGAGGCAAGCCCGTGGCGAACGGCACCTCGGTGGTAGCTAACGGTCATAGCAAAGTGGAGGAGGTGGAGGATAACGGGAAGAGGCAAAAGAGAGGAAGAGCGAAGAGGGAGTAAAGACGGAAGAGTGCTTGCTCGGCCGATTTAAAAAAGAAAAAGAAAAAAAAAGACAGTTGTTTTAAGGGCCAGAGAAGGAGGGTGGGTAGGGATAGACAGAACCCACACTGGCTTCATCATCCCTGCACATAATGTAGAAAGATGTGATTTGTGACCAACTTGGAAAGGTGAAAGGATAGAAGTGTGTTTGTGTCTGTAAGGGGTTTTGAGAGGAAGAGAGGGGTGTTGGTTGTCTCCACAACAAGTACGATGCTGATCATGTAGGCTCCATGCTCTTCTGTCCAACTGGCTTTTGGACCGTAATAGGACCAAAGTATTATAGGACCTACAATCTGCTCAGCATCCACTAACCTATCAACCTAAATTCACCTCCAACTTTTGTACTCTGGATTCCAGTATTATTTTAACTGAAAGCTTAAATAGTCTTTAATATGCTAATTTATTTTCTAGTGCTCAATAAGAGTTTTAACGAATTTAACTATTACCAACAAAACGACATGCAGATGCATTTTTTTTCTTGGTTCGGGGGGTAAATTTATGTTTGCTCATAATTAGAGTTGAGCAAAGTTAAGTGGACAAAATCACAGTACGACATTCTCACAATTGCCATTTCCTGTATTTAAGTACTTTTCATTCATCTACTTCACCTACCAATCCAACATGTCCGGGACTTTACATCTCTCTGCTGTCTGAAATGGATTTAACTGTGCTGCATTTACAGAATGACATATTTTCTTTGTGATCATTGTGAATTAAAACTGGGTTTGAATCACTTTGTGGGAGGGGGACTGTAGTTTATTTGATTCATGCAAATTTGTGGGTATCTTTGTTTTAATCATTTTTTGTGGGTCCTCGTGATTTTTTTCTTTTTGCTCCGCAATGTAGCCGAGGTGCAAAAATAAGAGATTTGAAACTCTGCTGAATATTGTCTCACTGCCATGTAGGACTTTTTTTTTTTTTTTTTTTTTTTTTTTTTTTAAAGAAAATAAATGGTTATTTCATTGTCTTCAAAAGAATGAAAGCAACACAGCTTCTGGCTGCACATAGAACTGAAATAAAGACAATGTCAGCACCCGATAGTTTATGTTTGTTTATGTGTCTTTGTGTTGGTGCGAGCACAAAAGCAAAATCAATTGTAAATCAGCTAATTTAATGCTCAAGCAACATTGTACTCACCGTATAGGATCGAGCTGTCATGCATTAGGAACCTAATCTAAAGACAAAGCCGTTGTCTTCCTTTTCCTGTCCTTCCTTTATCTCTCTCTTCCATCCTGGGAAGATGGAAGTAGCTCTTCTGTGTGTGTGTGTGTGTGTGTGAGAGAGAGAGTCAGAGGTATACTGTGTCTTTGGCCCGTCCAGACAGATCTGCCCTAATCTTTGGGGGTAAATTGGCTTTAGCTCCAAAAGAGCTTACTTCCACGTCACTCCATGAGATACCCGGGAAAGCAGGTCACTGGAAGAGAAGCCTTCACTAATCTGCCATCAGGTTTCTCCTGTAACTCTCAAACTGTGTAGTTTTGATACAGTATTGATTCATTATGCAAATGACTGTACAATACACAGGGCAAGTAAGAGATGCACATTTCGCCCCAAATATTGGCAAATACATACTTTTTTTTGCAAAAGAAACAGCCAAGTGATATCTGCTGTGAATTTAATATACTGGTTAATTTAAAAAAACTTAACCCCTCCTTCTGCATCCATTTATTCATTACCCTGCAACAATCTCACTATATCCTATTGCTCCTTCACCACATTGTGGATACACTAATGGCGTCTATTAAATCATTCTTCCTCCACATTTTTTCTGTTGTCCAAATGCCTCAGATCTGTTATTCCTGATATGTCACATCTCAGGCCACAGTTTGGTTTTTTTCTCATGCTTAGCCACTTTTTCTACAAGTCTATCGCACACTACATGACCTACTTTGCAGCCTTCCATCTTATCATGGTGCACCTATCTGTAACTTGGCATCAGGGTGGAGGTGTACGGGTGGAGATGTGAATGATAGACTGGATGAGATCAGTGAGGAGTATTTGTCCTCCATGGGGACACATAGGGATCTAAGCCAGGCCCTAAGAGGATTGCAAAGGGCCAAGGCTTTTCTACTGAAGGCATTTAGCCCAGGTCACTATAACCTGCAGACATACAGCTGTACGCAGACATTCAGTGGAGCTGTGGCACAGATTTGTGTGCCAGATTAAGTAGTATACATCCCAATACATAGTTAACAGTTAATACATCCCTATGCAACTCTTTAAAGAAAACTAAGTGTAAAACAAATTGCTGGTTCCCAAACTCTTTCTCTGCCTTTGATAATGTGCAGCAAATAGGCCTGTCATTTTCATAGGATCACTGGCGGTCGACGGACCCACCCGGCCTTCTGAGAGGGCCCGTCTATTAGAGGGTGAAGGGGTTAAATCTCTGCAAACCTGCCCGTCACTCACTCATCTCATTAGCAATTATATGACTAAGGAGCTCATTCTAGCCTAACGGAGTGGAAACAGTCAGCGTTTTACTGGCCCGCCGTCTGCGTGTGGGACGGATTGCCTTCAGAGTTCGGACTGACTCGGTTTTACGTGAGGAGGGCACCCTCTTCTGGGCCTGAATTTAGTTACAGGACATGCATTGGGTCAGGAGCAGATGAGATGAGGGGGATATGTTGTGTGATTCCTGGCAAGAGTGAGTGAGGCATATCATATGCACATGCCAGGAACCTTTTCTGTATTAAAATCTGTATCGTCAAGCAAGACAAAACGTAATCTTTCATTAAACAGAGGGATTTACAAGAGACGATTTTAAAAAAGAAAATAACGGTCACTTCTCACAAGATATGCCAACTTTTAGTCACAGGCTTTCTGTTAAAAATGTCAAGTCTCAAACTCAACCTGAGATGTTATCAGAGATATTTACTCAGACATTAGAAATCCACCCGCAGAGCTACAGAAGATATTAAGGCTTACAACTGCTTCCACAGGCGTACATTTGACTAGAATAGTCTAGTCCTGCCTTTAACTCTGTCTAGAAAATAAAACATGTTATTAATAATGAATTTAAGTGATTATTTCTGCATGCAAGTTAGGTATTCTGCTCATTCATTTCAATTTGTATACCTACATTGTAAATAGTGTGCAGCCTGCTTTGGCAACTCTGTAGCTACTTAATCATGGCTGTGCATGCCAATGAAACTCATTTAAATGTGAGGACACTTCCTGGTGTGACGTACGTCATCCTCACGTCATATGGTCAGTGCCCCTGCACTGCCTGGTGGTGCCCCGTGTCAGCGACTCTCCTTAATGCTCTGCGATAAGAATTCCCCCATTATGTGGAGCTCTCTATGTAAAAGGCATTAGTTTGGACTTTAAGAATACACCTGTCGGTCAGGGCCAGCAGGTTACAGTCCATGTTTAGTGGTCCTGGACAAACAGTAGCCTCGGCCTACACCTCCCTTGTAAAGTTACGGTTCAGCATGATGAGGGGTGAAGCAGTTGCAGAAAAGCGGCTTCTAGTGGCGTGCATGCAGTAAGCATCTTCCTCTAAATTGCGACTCTATTTGAAGAATATTTAAATGTAATTAAAACCGGGCTTAGCTTTGTAATTTACTGCATTTGGAGTTTTCTGTGCAGCTTTTTAAAATTTCCACTTGTGATAAACAACTAGAAAAGTACAGCCTATGTTTGGAGCTTATTTCAGTGGAGCAGAAAATGAAGCCTGCCGCCAGCGGCGCTGCAGATCCTCCATCATCGTCAACATCGTCGGCAGACAATAGCGCAGGGAGGAGGAGGCAACACCGGGCTCCCTCGCCGGCCACAGCCCAGGAAGGGGCAACCAAGCCAGCTCCAAGACACCCAGGAAGGTCCAGGTCTCCTCTCCCCGCAGGAACGAGCAGACACATCGGGGCAAGAGACAGTTTGAGGTCCGCCGACGGAAGGGAGAGGGAGCCCGAGAGCCGCGGCGGTGCAGCTGTTCACCGGATGGTGCTGAAGCTGATGTAGTCGGACCAAACAGGGCGGATGCTGTCGGGGAAGATACGACAGATTAATCAGCATCGGCCCGTCGCTCCGCTTTGCGCCTGCCCTGCCTCAAAGGCGACTCCGCTCAGCGCCTGTTGCCCGGAAGAGCTTCGTCTTCGTCGGCAGAGAAAGGGAAGAAAGACGGAGAGGAAGGAGGCCGTAGGGAGAGGAGCGGCTGCGGCGCGGGCCTAAGTTTAGGGTGTTGGAAGGGAGGATGCTTGCAGGCTGAACTCATCCAGTTTCCACCTGCAGAAGAGACTGAGAAGAAGCGGGGCGAGGATGCAAACCAAGACGGACAACATGGGGACAGAGGAGGCCGCTCTGGGAGAGCCGGAGCCGGCTGCAGAGGAGACAGAGGCGGGGTCCGTGACACAGCAGGACCAGGCCTTCGAAGACGAGATGGAGAGACTGCTTGACGAAAATGAAGATCTTAAGGTTTGATACAGTTTAGTTTTGTGTCTGGAGCTGTGTCATTAGCAAGGAATGATTATAAATGTGTAGATACAAATACACCTCCGCAAAATCCACTGCAAAACAGTCGAAATTAGTTTTTTTCCCATATTAGAATGACCATGTTTGTAGTTGAAGCCTGTGGGCCCATGAAACCCTGTTGGCACATTACTCTGAATTGTGTGTTTGCAGAACCACGGATAAGTAAACATCAATTGATTTGTCTGTTGAACATCCTCCACGTCTTCACATAATATAATGATTCGATTAAAATTGAAAATACACTGGCTACAGATGACTAATTGGTTATTGATCATGTTGATCTGCTAGGATCAATTATATCTATCTCATTTGTTAAAATGGGGGACAAAGGTAGTCAACAACTGGGATTTGCATGTGCCATGTAGACATGGTGTTCACATCCAGTCTTGAAATACATTTGAATTCAGATCATTTTGTGTTGTTTTTTCTTAAAATCCTGTGCACATCTCTGAAGCTGACTACATTTGGCTCAAGTCCAAAACTTCCATCATTGACTCTGCAGAGTCAAAAGTCGACCAAACAGCAGAGATTTTCCTGGTCTTAATCTTGACCGTCTCATAACTGTGACACACAATCTTTACTGCGCACCCACCAGTGTGAAATTGAGGAGATGAGGACCGAGATGGACGAGATGCGGGACACATTCTACGAGGAAGACACGTGCCAGCTG